TGGCAGAAATAGGTAAGGTGGCAGTACTTTCCTGGGCGACCTCTTTTTGATTGGGAGTTCTACTGTTAAAACATTTACAAAACAAAAATAAAAAAATTAAAATTTATTTACAAAAAGTATAGGCACATTACAATTTAAATCATGACATGGAACCAGGAAACACGACTCAATTGTAGCGTTTATTCCGTACAGAGAATTTCTTACGATTCCTGCACTAGGCAAAGCCTATCTCGCAGATAATCGAAAAAAAATCCACATTTCCTTTGTTTCTAGATTTCCAATTTATTACAATTTGTCATGGCAAGTAAATTAGTACATTTTCATCTCATTTTCAATTGTATTTCGGAATCAAGCGATTGCGAAATCCAACGAAGTCGCAAAATTTGTTTTATAGCCATAGTTTATCATATTCATCGCAAATAGTAAAGCGGAAAACGCAAGCGCCGTTCCGTTTCTTCTTGTTTAGAGATTTTACATAATACCGGCGCCTGATTTGCATTTGTTTCTTGAAGTTTACGTTGGCTAAATGTGTACACATATGAGACTCAGCATAACGGCGAAATTCATGTGAGTTTTGTGGTAAAGAATACTACCGCCTTATATGTTTTCTAAATATCACCAGAAAGCGAGATTATAAATCTCGTTTTAGATATAGTCAGCACTTTTGCTTTGGGTTTAACGTGGCAATCAACACTTACGATCGCTATCGTACTTATCAAGACTGACAGCAGAAAATATCCATCGTCTGATAGTCTCAGAGTTGCTGGGCAGTAACATAGTATAATAAGACAAGTAGCGTAACTCATGCCTGTTTGGCGCATCAATACATGTCTCCTGAAGCGTAGGGTTGTCACTTGTTATTTTAGTTGTACCTACAGGTTGTAAATATAATTTGAAATAAAAAAAAGCCGACCTCAAAAGTTCGTGGAATTACATCTATTTACCAAGTTTTATTGAAATCAGTTACGGGAAAGTGTGCGAAACCAGATTCATCCGATAGTTTGCCACCTTTAGAAATGGAATATTTTTTCAAATTTAAATGCAACCAATACTGAGGTACCCCCTTTCCAACAAAAAAGAATCATCAAAATCGGTTCACAAATTATTATTTCATTGTTTAATAAAATAAATAAAAATAATTAATAAAAATATATAATATATAAATAATAAATAAAAAATAACCTCCTCCTTTTTGAAGTCGGCCTAAAAGGTATTTATCACAGTATATTCTCGTGCTATATTGAAATAACATTCTTAGTATTTCGATTATGGGATTATAATCATGAAAGAGAGGTGAAATGCGATTTTGTAGTATGTATGTATATGCATAACTATACATCTATAAATCAAAATATTGTAAATTTGTTAGCAAATTATCTTAAATATTTAAACATGGACGGAACGCTTCAATTCTATACTGAATAGCGTGTGAGACGCGCGCTGTGCAATATGAGAGCACGGCGAGATTATGCGAATGAATGCGACCGTACACAGTGGCGCTTCTACGTTTGGACGGAGTTACACTACTTGTCTTATTGTACTATAGTAGTGACGTTCAAAGTTTCTTACTGTATCTTTTTAGGTGAATCGATCTGTCGCATGACCACTCCATTACACTAGAGAAACTAAACTAGAGGTCAAATACAGTTTGCTAGTTTATAGTAAAGCGATTTAAAGCTGATACGATTAAAGTTACTTCTTTAACCTCCAAGCTTTTATTTCCTTCTCTAGTTACGGGAACCGTGACCAAGTATGACTAACTCGCGCATTAAACAGGCTAAGATTCTATTAACGGTACTCCATGGCGATCCCATATCTTATACCAATTTATGACCTGTCTATTTGCATATGTGTAATCTATTGCTCGGTCTCGTAGGTGCCTGCATCATACCGCTATGAAATGCACAGGTAACATTATAATATTCACTAGTTCTAAGACGCTATGAGATAGGGATATTATGCCAAGGACATCGAGATGCAGAAACTTAACGCGAATCCCTTTATAATATCGTCATTTATTTCTTCAAAGCAAAACTTGAGATAGCTTTTATGATCTCTGATCACTGCAACTGCTATGGACAGACGTGTTGCTTACCACCTGGCGCACGACTTCGTCGTGTCACTTGGTGTCATAATATATATATATATATATTGTATATATGAGCCAAACATTTTATATTGATATTCATATATAAAATGTTAAATAAACACTTGCCAATTGGTATTGAATTTTTTTCTCCTGCAAAGTCACGGAAACAAAAACCATGATGGAAACAATCACCTATCACAATAGTACATCATCGTTCTGGCTTGGAGAGGTCAGGGTGCTGGTGAAATTACAGGCACATGGGACTTTAAATCAATTTTATGTCTCAAGGTGACGGGCGCAGTGGTAGTGCCTCAGATCTTTGCAATTTTAAACTTTGAATGTCTTTGAAGCGCCTAGAGGTACGCGTGTCGCTTACCTCTAGGCGCAAGACTTGTTCCTTCCATCACTTGATATCATAAACAAGTAGCTTTCATGCACGTCGTTCATACAAAGGAAATGATATTAAAAAAAAATATTCAAAGTAATATTGTTAATGACAAATGTGTACAAATGTTTATTTACAAAGAGCAACCACTAGAGTTTCTTATTCATTCTACTCATTAGAATCTGCCTTACGAATGCGTAATAGAGTTTAATCAATGTGACCGTAATCGCACACCGGCTTCAACACTGACATAACTCAATAGCAGCCAACATGTCAAGTTAAATATGACAGTTATTCGAATAAATACCCTACCGATCAGTCGTCTAAAGTGATATCACTTAATTTGATTTTTTATCGACAAGCAGGGAAATTTTTGCAAACGCACTTAAGGGCGCTTTCCCATTATGTGGTGACAACAGATAGTCTTACAGTTTAAAGTGTCGTGACTTGCATATTTAAAAGAACTTGCTCACACATAGAACAACATGATTAACTGTCGTTCACGACTATTTTGACGTTACGACGATAGACTGTCATGACAATGGGAAGAGTTAGAACGACAGTCGTTCGACGACAAATAAAATGTCACGATAAAAATATGACGACAGATAATAGCAGCTTCAAACGATTCTGTCGTGCAAATGACAAGGCGGCTGCCGTGGACCGATAAATTGTCGTCACGATCTAGTGGGAACAGCTAGACATGACAGCCGTTCAATGATAAAATAAACGTCCACGACACAGTCACAACACATAGTCGTGATACGGGAACAGGTAAGCCGCAACTGTCGTCCAACGATAAATAAAACGTTACGACATAATGGGAACGCGCCCGTAGGCGACGTATTTCAACGAGAGGCTCAATTTTAGGAAGTCAGGCGTGGGGAGTCGCCTCTCGCGTCTCGCAATCCTCGAGCTGAAAATTAATATAAATAAAGTAAGAACAAAATAGGAACATAAATCCTACGTAGACAAGGCCCCGATGGCGACTGACAGGGCAGTTGTGTAATTTTCTAGTTTTGAAATATAGGTGATTTAATAACAATCGGACTTCAGTTGAAAATCAATATTATGCAGGTTCTCTGTAGTACTGCAATAGAAACATCTCCATATAAAAATTATGTGCAAAGTTAGATATTTTTTTCTTAAACAAGACGTAAAATTTTTATTTTAGCTTGTTTTCAGGATTTTGTATGGTCGGGTAAAGTTGGATATAAGACTTGTAATAAATTAGCACATTCTTTAGACATATCCTTATATGTCTAAAGAATGTGATAATTTGTTTGATCGAGCCCATTCGATCTAACAAAACAGTTTTTCCTGCTTCACATACAGTGAGTCGCTTCAACAATCCTAAAGAACATTTAATAAACTTATTTAAAACCTAAAGAAATTATGATTTTTAGTCCGAGGGCCGGATACAGTAAGTAATAATTCTTAGTAGGTACTGAATTAGTACTAGTTCACTGACCATTCCAATTTGAGATCAAAGGCAGGTGTGATGAATTGACCGCGCCCTGGCATCAATTGCGGAGGGAAGTGGACCGACGCACTCATTAGCGAAAGTGGCTTGACATGACGTGACGTACGAGTGGCTTGTCCCGATCAGATACCTGATTCTATGTAAACCTTGTCAGAGCTAAAGTTATATTCGTATAGTAATTTTGTCCCTACGAGTTTGAATGAGTAGGTCGTATCGAAATGGTGATTCAGATATATCAGATCGAAAAAAAAAAGATGAATAAAAGTGTATTTTTTATGATAATATTAAGTGATGGGACGAACAAGTCGTGCGCTTGATGGTAAGCTACACGCCTGTCCACAACAGTTGCGGTACCACTCGAAGCTTTAAATCACAAAGATCTGAGGGGCACATTAACAAATTCCATGTGCCTGTAACTTGACCAACACCCTTTCCCTTCAAAAACGGAACGCAGTAACGCTCTCTTTGCTTGGCGGCAGAAATAGGCAACGTGGCTGTACTTCCCTGAACCAACTCTTTCATGAGGAGCTCTAACTGCTTCTGTATCATTCGATTAACCTTTACCTTGAAAGACAGGAATCATGACGTCCTGGAAATAGTTTTGTTATAGGTACTCAGAACGGAAGTGATTGCACTAGACCAGTTAATGCATGAGGTATAGGAAAGAGCATATTAGTATCAAACTTTGAACTTTGTACCGTTCTTCTTGGAAGCGGCATAGAGAATTTAAATCTTAAATGTCGGACCTCCTCTTGACCCTGTACTAAAAGACGATATAGCTTTTGTAAGCCTAGGCCTTTGTAGGCCTAGTTATTGAATGTCTGTCGTCTCATTTTGAATATATTTAAGCGTGAAAGAACTATAATAAAAAATACATTTTTTAAAATAAAGTTTGAAGCTCCTTCTTTCAAAAAAGTACATTTAGATTCTGTTTGTTGAACATGTTTCTTCGGTCTATGTGGTATGGGTGTTAAATTGATTCCATGCAACAGCAACATTCTTATTACATCAAAAATGCATCATCGATCGACCTTCGTGGAGTAATGTGTGGCGCCGATGAGGCAACGCGCATCAAATCGGCGGCATTCCGGATTGTCCGCGGACCGTTACGGCACGGCACCCGGACGCTGCGCTTGCGCAACCAAGCGCATTCGCTCGGTTATGTAATTCTTGGTGCATCCAGCAACACACTAGATGATGTTAGAAAAGGCCTTCGTTTTAGGTTACTAAATATTAATGTGAATAAATTAAAAAATATATGACGAAATTATAACTTGTATATTAAGCGTTTGTTAAATAAATGTATGAACGAAGAAATATTATTAGCTCGACTGAAGATCACAATATTATATCATCTTTAGATTAATGAAATAGAAGTCGAATGTTAAATGAAAGTCTATTCTCTAACTTTTGTGAACAGAAATATTTTGCAATGACACGAAGAAACGAGTAGTGTATAGGGTTTAAGCGTGTGCGCAGCAGAGAGCCGCACGCGCCGCCGTCCTCAGGCGCCCTTGACAATGCCGCACGCAACGTGCCTTTATGCTGCTTCTGGTTTTACCCGAGGGAAAACGCCCAAAAAGCACTCTCGCGGCGCCACGAGAATGACAGCGTGTATTGACCGCGATTGAAATGCAATGAACCTATGTAGGTATTTTGTTACAATAATGTTTTACAAAGAATGTGAATTATCATTGTGTGTTATATGTACTATGTAATAACAACTTAACTACATGCAATGTTACCTTCGTTCCTTCCTACCAATGCTGCTTATACAGGTGAAACAGAAAGGTCTGATTAAGAGGCTAGCGCATCAGATTTAGTTGACTAAGCATCACTTCGTAAAATATGATGAAGTCCGCAAGTCGGAGTGGTGACTATGACTAGGAGAGAGACCGTTAGACAGAAGAATAATAGAACAACATAAAACAATAACAAGTTATATGTTACATTTACGCTCTTTATTTGTTATTATTTTATAATAATTTTGAACAAAATTTTATTGTCTCCGGTACCCTGCCCAGCTCCACTTTAGTTTCGTGATGCGATTATACGGAGACAAAATGACAGATAGAGTAAGAAGATAACAGAGTGGCGTCCAAGGATACAGGAACGTCGGGTGTCCAGCGGCGAGATGGGCGGATGTCCTCGCAGGAATTGGGGGCGAACCTGGATGAAATTAGCACGGCATCGTGAGGAGTGGCACCGAAACTTCGAGGCCAGGCTGTATATGATCATGTTGATGAAATTTTATTGCATGTTTAAATATATTTTTTTGCGTTGTGTTTATTTTGGTGAATTTACGTTATATTATGATTACGCTCGGTGGTGTCTGCTTCGTTGCTAAAATTGGGAAAATTGCTGACTAACGTTAATAGTCTCTGCCAGCCAGCCAGTCTCCAATACGCGCAACTATTTTATGCTGAATTAGCATGAGTACGATCAACAGTTGAATTTCTTCGGATTTTTTTGACGTCGTAGGTACACGATTGTCCTTTAGATTCTGATCACTGAATATTCCATAACCCTGGTGTTTTAAAATGGTTTTCTTCGGACTAAGAGACGTGTTAAGAGGTTAGGAGGTAATCAGCTCAACAATTTTTGCTTTCATATTATCGAAAAGGTTTTTTACCGATGGCTGTCACCATGATGTTCCGTGTCAAGGCGAACACGAGCGATTTACATTTTTATTGTTACGTTGACTAAATTTGCTTTCAATGCGCTGTGCTGTGAGGTGAAGGATCGAAATGCGAAGGTATTATAGCGTCCCGATTAATCTTAAACTCGTGTTCTACATTGCAGTTAAAAAATATTGTACAAAAATATATTTGATCTCGAATGCAGAATATCCATTGCATACACAAATTAGCCACTCTTTGAGTTTCATAATTTTAGTGTATACACATATGTGGTGGCTATATAGCCACCCCCAGTGTTTGATATTTTGATAATTTATGGTATAAAAACTGTAAGCCTTTAGCTGTTATTTGATGCGATGGCTACGGCCTCCTATGTCATTTGCGGTAGTAAGAAGGTATACCCATAATGGGAAATAAGTGTTTAAGTCTCCTGTGCTTGTAATCGCTTTTCCTACCCTCTAATCCAGAGCACCGTAGTGTTGCTTTGGCGTAGACTCTGAAAAAACAACCTACTACCTATTTGAATGTTTTTTTGGATATTATTGGTAGACAAACTTTTAATGTTTGTACAAGACAAATGATCTCGTGTACAAAACAAATACATTTTAAATTATAATGAGTTTCTAATTAATTTGTTGGTAAATTTCATACCAAAATGCGTCGAAAACACTTAATTAGCTTTCACAGCTTTATTCGTGATTAGGCTAAATTGGGTTCTGTCAGTTTTGCCAGAAAATCAAAAGTATTTGGTATCTGTAAGCCTCTCTCCCGTACTTTACGTTGTTTTAACCACAAAGAACAAACTAAGACGCAAAACGAGGAATAAAACAACGTCGATGTATTTATTTATCGGTGTAATTTTCTGGTATGTTATTAAGTAAGTATTTATTAAATTGGTTTACGTTACTGTGTCTTAGCGGTAAAAACGTAAGTGAATTTGGTCACCGTGGCAAACGCCCAGGCGGTATGTCTTTTCTTTTACGGATCGGGCACGAATCATTCTCCGGTACATTGGCCCTATATCAGATCTCAAAACAGGAGGTATATAACTACAAATCTAGTAGCTAGGAACTAGAAATACAGTAATAATAAAAACATTGGATCAAGATAGCTACCCGGTGTTTAGTTAGAGAAGGATGTTTGATACTGAGAGGGGGAAGACGTAGCTCCTCCCAGGTGATGCGGGGGTCCCGGTACGCAAAGTCGATCCCGGATCCTTCTCATTAGAGCACCCGAGAAGGCCACTGTGGGGTTTTAGCCGATAGAAGCCGGACTTCTATATAACCTTAAAAAAAGGAGAAAAGGAAATTTGTCCAAATTCATGCCAAACTTTTGTATGTTTCATTCACGCGCATATAAAAATGCTTACAACATATCAGTTTTTGCTTTTTTGAGACCTGATGTAAGGCCAATGTATCGGAGAATTACTCTTGCCCGATCCATATAAGAAAAGACATACCGCCTAATTAATTTTGAATGTGGGAAGACTCTAGGAGTATATCACGGTTACAACCTATGGTTACAACCAATATCATTATGTTCAACACATTGGACAATTTGCAGAAACATTATTATTCATAAAAGCTTGATTACTTAATTAATTGAGGTCGGCGAAGTGAACAAGTTGTCACCCTTATGCGGTTTTTATCTAGTAACAAGTCATCAAATCTATAGAATAACTATTTTGGGCAATGTACATAAGTCACCGGTCATTCGGTGGCGGGCAAGGGTTTCTATTTTCATTACTACATTTCTGTTTTCATTATTTAACCATGTACGTCTTACCCCAAGTCTACTGCAAAGCAATTTCAGAAATCGACGTTGAACAGTTTCTACTAATGCTGTCGATGTGTCATATAGATCTTATTAGTATTTTTTACAGTACATTGAGTACAAACGCACTATGGATGTACATTAAAACGAATAAAGAGGAAAACGGAAAAAGGCCTCGTTAAATACATAGTAAAATGGTCCGTGTTTATCGTACTATCCGATGCGCCTGATCGTTTTGCTGGCGAGACGCCAAAAAGCGTTTATTGCTTACGTGCGGAAGCGTTTGTTCGCGTTTGTTGAAAAACATTTACTTAGCGTAGTTTTCGTACTCACACTGCACTGTAAGTAGTATGTGATAAAGCTTTATTTACTGTATAAACTTTACTCAATATGTATTTACATTAAACACTTAATATTTGTGAGCCTAAACTAAATATGAAGTCATAAATTAGGTACCTAGTTGAGACTTCACAGTTTCCACAGTTTTGTAAAGGTTCTCAACAAAATGTAACAAACCATTCTAGTTTGAGCTGTTTGATGTTGTGTTGGAAAATTGTAATTGCAATGAAATTATATAGTTTCTTGGAACTTGGGGGTTGGAGGTCGTCATTGGAAGAGGACGGCCACGAAGAACATTCTTAGAACAAATTGGGAATGTTCTTAAAAAGGCTGGAGTGTGTAGTAAGTAGAATAAGAGTAAGTAAGTTATATAGTTATAACCACGGAAGAATTTATGTGGTCTGTGGTTATAACTTTAACAATTTAGTAGCAATAAAGCTCCTTGTGAAAGAGTTCGTCCAGAGAGGAATGCCACCTTACCTATTATTTCTCCCGCCAAGTGAGCAATATTGCGTTCCGGTTTTGAAGGGTACTTATTTTTTTTTCACGCACTCATAACCCTGTATCGCGGGTGCCATGGACACACACATAGACTACCACAAATTACACCCAAACTCACGAAAGAAATAAATGTAGGCCATATAAACATTTCACCCGGCTCGGAAATCGAACCCGGTACCTCGGCGTGCAGTCCAGGATGGTCACCGTTTGGCCATAAATTACAGGCACATCGGACTTGTCAACTTATGTCTTAGGGTGACAGGCCCAGTGGCAGTGCTCCACAGATGTCTGTGATTTAAAGCTCTGTGAGGCACTGCAACTGTTATGGACAGGCGTGTCGCTTACCACATGACTTGTTCGTCCCATCACTTGATATTATAAAAAAAACTATTAATACGAAGACTGAACACAAAGAAAAATTCGTTCGATCTGACAGGACACTAACAATACTTCTGTATGCCAAACTAGGGCTACTCTGCCCACTGAGTTACAGATCAACTTAACTGAGATACAGGTGTCTGGATAAGCGCTTGCGGCGATAAAAAACTGAAAAAACCCAATACCAAAGATCTGTAACAAGCACTTTGAGAAATTCGTAAGATCTGCTGGCTGTTAGTAGAGCGGTGGCCCTAGATTCGCATACAGACACAGATTCGGGTACTGCCAGATTTAAGGAATTTATATTTAAGGAGTTTATTAACAAAGTAATGGAGTAATTTCACAAAAAATTAATACCATAGTAGTAAAACATCACGTTATTCAATAAAAATCAAAGTTGTAGTTCCTTCCAAAACTAATATCTAACCGAAGTTTTCAAGAAAATCGATTTGATAAAGCCATTTCTGCTGAACTATGAAGTAATGAAGCAAGTAACAGGTATTTTTGATCATCATTAGTTTTTGGTGGTTCCGGGACATTTAGGCATACAGGTGTGTACAGTGTAAACA